GTGCTGCTCGCTGCAAGGTCTTCTGATGGTTGCGACTTTCCTTTGCCCACCTGGCAGTGAACTCTCCAATCTGATAGACTCCTTTCTTTTCCTAATTCAGACCAAATAGTGCCCCGAGATTTATTTTACGCGTCGCTCGCTGTCTCGGCAAAAGTCACATTCCGTGCTGCAGGTAATACAATGATTTTCAGGTTTCGCAATGCCTTACAAAGCCTCTGCAACCGGTGGACGGCTTCGATAAAAAACGTTTCGAATGCACGTTCACTTTCCTTGTTTGCCAGTCACCTCATCAAACAATCAAGAATGCTCCTCTGAGCCGTCCTGTCAATCTTTTCAAGCTACTGTCATCAGCGCATGTCCATTCTTGACTAGCCTGTATCGATTATCTGTGAGAACACGTCGCAGATGCTGTCTGCGGAAGTACTCATGATGAAATTCATGATCTTCTAAATAATTTTCTCACGTGATGCAAAGTATTACTTGGATGCTGTGTTCTCACAGGCGTTGGATTTACGTTAGACGTCACTGTTGCCTAGTCCTTTATTGCGTTTCTGCTCACGTGCCCACTGGTTTGTAACTTCTGTAAAGTATGCTTTAGAACTGCGTCGTAAGTTGTTCACAGTTCTTTGTCTTTGCCAAGCATAACCGCGATGGCCTGTAAGTTTTGAAAGACCGATTTAAATAAATATTTGAGTAGTGTCAGTTAGTCGGCTATAACGATAAATCATTTATGTTAATAAGGCAATCATCACTTTGTGGCTAATAATAGCCGCCCCTTATTAAAAGCTAGCAGCCACGTAAGAGAGAACTGTAAGCGAAGATGAAGTACGCCACAGTGTTATTTCTATACTTTTTAGAGTAGTCGTGAAACCGTTCATACTCAATCATCACTCCTGAACAGAAAATTAAAATTCGTTCCATTCCTCACTTTCCACTGAGAAATGAATCTATGGAGATAGAAAGAAAATTTCTTCAAACTGTCAACTCAAAAGTCCAAAATCTTTGTCACTTCAGCTTTTATCACTGCCAAAACACGACCTGCAGCAAATCTGTGAGATTTTTTAGAATTTCATCTGATGTTGTTGTGCTTTATGCACCTGGAAAATAACCACGGTCGAGTTCCTTGTAACAAACCACGGATATACTCAACATTTTTTTAGCGTGCCTTCAAAAATATGAGAATTATGATTAGCTGCTCCAATTCATTTCACTGCGATGGGCTGATAGCAGGAGCTGCAATGGAGTCAATGGTAGTAAGAAGAGGCTTGTCACTGGCCTCTGCAAACGGTGTGCTCGCCGCCGACACTGACAGAATCGGCAGATCAAACGAAAGAAATGATCGTTTTAAAGTTAAGACGAGATGTTTATTGTTTGTAGATGATCTTGTCGTACTGAAATCCTCTAAAATTAGCATTCAGAGTACGCTGTAACTTTCGCAACCGAGTGTGATATGAGTGCAGGTGTAACGAATTGCAACGAATGCACACATGCAACGAATTGAATCAGTAATGCATTCTGCAGGATAATGGAGCGTCACTTAAACAATTGCAAAGTTCAGGTAACTTCGACGTCGTGTTTACAAAGTGAGGGAAGGCCAGAAAATGAAATCGGCCAGTGGATAGAAATGGTCAATGAAACTCACTTCTAGTGAACTATTCCAAACTGTCATGAAGAAGGCAAAACTGATGAATTTCGAAGACGAAGCCGCATGTGTTCAAGTCGTTCGTTCTTATGCTCCACTACAGTACAGGCACTTGACTCATGACCAAAAATAAGGTCAATAGAGCAGGCAACTGAACGAGTTTTCTGAGTAAACCAGATGGGTTAACACGTTTTGACAGAGTTCGTTACTC